CTACAGTCTTACAAGTTTACCCCATAGTTTTCCCACTATATGCATAGGGCTTATTCAGGAAAAATGTACATAGGATTGCTATTTTAGCTATGCAATAAATCAGATTTAGTGTAATTTGTCCAGTGATTTTAAATGGGCTTAGCCATGCCAACATTTCTCAGCACTGTGCTTCACAGAAATATGACCACTCAAACTTTCATAGCATTGTAAGAAACTTTCCACTAGTTGCATCTATTTGTAGCTTCAACCTATATTTAGAGAGGCTGTCTACATCTGTTTCTTTGTGTATGTGCTTGCATACTTGTCATACATTTAAAATATGATTGAGGCCACACATTTCTAAATCAGAGGGTTAATTCGCTATACTGCAATTCCTAATGGCTGCTGAATTGAACACCTGTCCAATGCCTGATTCCTTGTGGGTTACTTGCTATTTAAGGCATAATATTAGAGTGAAAAGCTGCAGCTTTAATTTTTAAAATTGTTTCATGTTCTAAATTGTAAGTTGCTGTGGTGATCCTGTCTGGTCTTGAAAGGTAACTCAGAAATAGTTTTATACACATGCAAAAACGTATTAATAGATGATGGCAAGAGGCACTGACCCAGCATGCATGACATGTCAGCCTCAACCTTAGTTGTTTAGAGTAGTGTATGCTGGACACCATTTTGAGTATGCAGTCCCTAATGAGGAGATTGACTATGTTGTGTGAACCCAGCCACCATGGGTTATTCAGGAGTTAAACAACCTTTGCAGAGCCCTATTACAAACTGAGGGTTCTATGAAGGCTCTTTAATGCTCAAACAACCCACAGAGGCCATTGAATACTTTTGGCCAGGGCGTTTTTTGTCATAGAACGCACTGGAATGGCATTCCGGCACCTTTTTTTCCAATGGATTTTATGAAGTGATTTTGAATCGCCTGTTGGCGTAGCAGGTCAGCAGCAAACATCATTGACATAGTGCCTGTGAGCTGCTTTTGTGTCCGCTCTGCCCGGCTTGGGGCGCTGCTCGGCTTGGGATTGGTGTGTGTGGTCGTGTGCTCAGCGCTTACCGCCAGCGGCGACGTGAGTTCTGGCACTTTTTTTTTTTTTTTTTTAACAAAAAAAGCATTGCTTTTGGTCATTCAGAATCCAAAGGCAGACAGGATCCAAACAAGGGCAGATAATCCTTATTACTGGGCTTATATGTATTAGTGGAAAATAGACTTTTCTGTTGCACAGATTTCCTCTTCAACCAGGAATGTTCAACATTCATTTGAAGCAATGGCCTAGCCTTGCTGGAACACGAATCCTTGACACAAAATCTGCAATGAAAATGTGTGTGGATGGAGAAAAGGGTGCAAATCAAGATGAATGAGTCAGCCCATGTGCTTTATCGGGAACTGCACACTTCCTTCTCTCAGGCCTGTGAAAGCTCAGTCTTTGGTTTGCTAAACTGTGGTCTCTCTGATTTTCTATTTTTGAGGAACAGTATAACAGCATGATTTTTTTTTCCCACAGGGAGGAGGGGACATTTGTCCTCTGCATTTCTTACCAACAAGGCTCTTAATAGCACCTACTGAGAGATGTAGCCACTGGAATTCAGTGAGGAAGTGAGACAGGTTTCCCTTGGAAAGGAGTTCCTCTGCTAAGGTGCATCCACTGAAAAGGCCCTGCCCCTAGGATCCTATTAGGCATGTGCCCAGGTTAGCTGGGACAGTAGGAACAGAAGCACTGTGTTAAATTTGTTTCAGTGTTTTATAGATTGCCAGGCATTTTGTTGTATTGTCCACTCACTGAGAGAATCAAATGTTGTACAAATGCTTTCATATAAAAGGTAAAGGTAAAGGTTTTCCCTTGACATTACGTCCAGTCATGCCTGACTCTAGGGGGCAGTGCTCATCTTCGTTTCCTTGCCAAGGGAGCCAACGTTTGTCCGTAGACAGTCTTCGTGGTCATGTGGCTGGCATGACTAAACACCAAAGTGCACGGAACACTGTTACCTGCCCACCAAAGTGGTACCTTTTTATCTACATGCATTTGCATGCTTTCGAACTGCAAGGTTGGCGGGAGCGGGGACGGAGCAACGGGAACTCACTCCGTTGCGCAGAGTCGAACCGGCGACCTTTCGATCAACCAGCCCAGCAGTACAGTGGTTTAAACCACTGCGCCACCTGCATATACATTTGTGCACAAGTTTGCATTTTCCAAAATATGCAGGTATCCTCAAAATGTTCAAATCCCCCAAATGTAGATTTTCATGATTTAGTCCATGGAGGAGAAATGTGACTTTCAGTCATTTCTTAAAATTTGTTTGTTAGAAAGTTTAAAAATATTCCACAAATCCGTGGAATATGTGCAGCTCAGGAAAAGCTGGTGTGCTGTGGAATCTGTGGGTAGGAGTCATAGAAATCTGTACGTATTTGAAACATTTTTTCTGAGATTCTAATGGAACATACAAGAATGCCTCCATAGTATCTCAGTAGGACAGGCAGTCCTTCAAATTTTCCAATCCTAAACCATTAAGGTCTTTCAAGGTCATCACTGGGAGTTTGCATTGTACTTGCAAACACACTGAAAGCTGGTGCTGCTATTTCAGCAAGACAGCAACATGCTCTGTATAAGTGGTTTCTGTTAAAAATCAGCTACTATATTGTGGAGCAACTGCAGTATCTGAATACTCAAATGATTTCATAAAATGTGATGTGATACAGCCAGGAGATCACTAGAAAATCACTAGGATTAACTGGTTGCCATGCCTTCAAGGCTTCAGATATTTTGCCTTGAAGAGACTGTTCTTTAGCATTGCCCAGGGGACACGTGTGACTGAAGGAATGTCACAGATGTGAACAGTCATTGTCCCCCGTTGTGATGTGACTGTGCCATACGATAAATAAATAAATACTCAAATGATCACTATAAGGTGCTAATTATTTGGAACTACTATGTAGTCCAGTCCTTCGTATGTTTATTGACATTAGGTTGCCTGTGTTCAGTGGGATATTCCTCCCAAATAAATCTATGTTTGCTCATATATAGGTTCCACTGAACTCAGGGCAGTTAATTTCTGAGTTGGCATGCACAAGGTGGTCACATTGCAAGACCACCTATACAGTCTAAGCCTGCATTCAGATATTACATTGCCTATAATCCAAACCATGGTCTGGGGGATAGGAACAAGCTACAGGTCTATGTGCTTTCTCTTCCCTGTCCTTCGTCTGTGCTTTCTCTCATTTTACTAGAAAATTTCCTAGTTTCCTCAATGATGGGTACTTTCTCCTCATGATGGCATTGGAGGGAGCATGTCCTCCAATCTGTGAACTGAAATGCAGCATCCAGCCTATAATGCTGAGGAGATGAATCCCAAAGAGTTAATTGTCCAATTGCAGCCCATTTCATAATTGTATTGCAACAGATTTCTGGGTCAGATGTAATGTTATCAAGTGAACTGGTACAAAAGGACTTGACATTTTCCTTCAAATGCACATTTTCTCCTCTAAGACATATATTTTACGAGGCATTTTTGGAAAATGAAGCTGTTGGACATTCTTCTAATAATTCCTTTTTGAATATTTCACTTTGTTCGAGCTTTGAGCATGCCTCTCAAATTAGGCTGGCTTTTGTTCTTTCTGTGGCAGTTAGCATGTTAAGGCCCTTGTTGGATTGTTTGGGGCTCCTTATTTTAATGAGAGCATCTTCTTTGCTAGCTACTTCAGCCATATTTTTCCTTCTAGAAAGTCAATGAACCCTCTTGCTTTAGTTCATTGTTAGGACAAAGGGCTTTTTATGCTAAAGGAAATTTATTCCATGGGACCAACTCGTGGGAAGCATAATGCATTCATTAATAATGGCCTGTACTCTGCCCTTTTTGTGCTCTGTGCAGAAGGGAAATACTCATCGCACATGTGTTGCTAAGATTCAAGGGAGAAGTCAGGAACTTGTGCATTGACACACATGATTTGTTCTTATGTGTGCCTTCAAATTACCTGTGCTTAGGATTCCAAATAAAACTCTGATGCAGTTCGACATCTGCTTTATGAATAATATTGATGCTGCTGCTTGATGTGAAGGTGAATTTAGAACCAAAATATGCTTTTGCTCTAAACACTGAAAACCCAGAGTTGGGGAATGATTGAGATTATGATATACAGTACAATGGTATTGAGCAAAGTAGATAATGCTATTTGTAGATTGCTATGGATACATTATTAATAATGAATGCTATTTATTATTTCTTAAACTTTATTTCCAACATCACATTTGATGACCTTTCTCTAAAGGATTAGTAATCTCCATCCCTTTCTGTAATCCCTTTCTGTAATGGATTTATGATCTCAACCAGACTATTATGTACATCACAATTTTTCCACACTATGTTGGCTGAGGATTGTGGGAGTTGTAGTGCAGTGAAGCTGGAAGGCACTAAGTTGGGTAAGACTGGCACATATGTTTATCTTGTAAATAACCACTTGTCTGATCACCTACAGTGCTTAAGAATGATCTTCAGGTGTCTAGGCAAGAATATTCTGATCCAGTTCATTAGGCATGATCAAGTCCCAAGCCACCATGTTCTTATTTTGAAATTTATGTTCACAAATGTGAAGAAATTGAGTCAAATTTGGAAAATATTGCTTATGGCACAGACATTCTGAGGGCAATTTGTTGGTGGTGGTGCCGTAAATACTACATTTTTAGCTCTTTCTTTTTTTCAGCGCTCCTTGTTCTCAATCTTTGACATTTTAGCTATTATAATTTAAAGCTTAGCTGTGCAATCATATGGACCACATTTTTGACTGCGTTCAACAGGCTTCACATATGTACCTTGAGGAGTATATGAAGCCTATGAACTGTAGGCTGTCACCTATACTTTGCCTGATGAAATGGTTTGACTGTAGATATAAGATGACATATATATGCTTTAGCATTCTATTTTGTTGCACTAAATCTGTAGATCCTGGAGGGGCTCCAATTCAAATACATTAAAGTTTCTCCCCTTTTCATTCCTAGGAAAGTAGAGACACCATGCAGCATGCAGTTCAGGTAGGCAAAATGAAATATCAAAACCATATTTACACTTATTATATTGTTGCTCATCTCAAACACAAATCTGAGAGTACATCTATGTTGATTTAACATGCTACTGCTATGAAGTGTCATAACTTACGTTTCATAAACTTGTGAGTGTGTGTATGAGAATGGGAACTTGAATTTTCTGAATATGCTATCCAGAAAACCAGCAACTACAACTGTTAAAAGTGTCACTCTAAAAGAATTATGAATAATTTGGGTGACACTATTATTGTCTTATTACTCTTCTATTTTATTGTAGGGCTGCAGGGTAAGAAATGGTGTGTCATTGTCATCTTTTGCACTGTACTAATCAGAGTCCTCCTGAGTGTAACTTCCAATGCCTGTGAAAGATCCTTTGCCAGTGTTGCCTTCAGTATCACCATTAGAGATATCCATTACTATCTGCTGATGTGACTGTTACTCCTGAAGTATAACATCCACCTTGAAGAGCAGAGATGCATCTTAGATAGGTGTCTTTGGGGTGACCCAGCTAGTAAACAAAACTGGTGAGAGAATCTGGCCTCTTGGCAGCATTGCTCTCAGCTTTCTTGGCACTCTCAAACCCACTCACTACGTTAAGAGGGGAATGAAGTGGAAGAGTATAAAGTCAGTAATATGTTACCCAAACAATTTACATTTTTTAGAGTAATTCCATTAAAAGCTGAGATTGCTGGATTTCTGGACACATATATTGTAATTTAAGACAGTTGATCAGATGGGCATTGCCAGACAGCCAATACAGAAATCAAATAGAATATGTAATGTAGGTTATGGAAAAGCTGTATTCTGCCTGTCAAAACAAGATATAAACAGATTATAGGAGTGACTGTGAACTGTTAATATAAAAAAATCAGAGTAGAGATCAAAAATCGGAAAAAGATCACTAACAGAAGCATGGTGCCAAAATCCAATTTAAGTAACATTCTTGAGGAATTTAACATTCACATAAAAACAGGTTGGCATTACTGAACTCAATTGACCCTGTGCCAAACACAGTATTAGTGAAGAATGTAGAAAGACAGTTCCTGTAGCAAAAAAAAAAAAAAAAATGGGGAGAAAGCCTTAGATGAATGACAGAAAAACACAATTATGAAGGTTGGGTGAGAACAAAATATCTTAGATTAGGAATGCTGAAAGACCAGCAGGGGCATATACTATCTGACCAGGAGGAAATAAAGAGAAGGAATATAATAAGAGAATGTGAATATATGGAGGAACTATACAAAAGAGATGAAAAGACAAGCAGCTCCTTCAGAGAGAAATCCTATGAGGAAGAGTCTGCAGAATTAGAAAGTAAGGTGCTGCTTTGGAACCACTTAGAAGGAATATAACATTTGGAATATAAAGTGTACCAAAGAGAAATATGTCAAGCTGCACTGACTGAATTAGTTCAAATCCTTACAAGGACCAGCTATTAAATATGAAAACAGTGTTATGGCCTATAGAATGGAACTGTTCAGTATGCATTCCACTTCTCAAGAAGGAAGACACTAAGGAGTGCAGCAACAGTAGGACTATTGCACTAATTTCCCATGCAAGCAAAGTGATCCTCAGGGTGCTGCAAGAAAGAAATTTACCCTGTCTGGAGTGAGAAATGCCTGACATTCAAGCTGAATTCTGAAAAGGGAGAGGCAGTAGAGATCATATCGCAAACATATGTTGGCTAGAGGAGCACAGCAAAGAATTTCAGAAGAAGCTTCGTCTGTAGACTATAGTAATGCCTTTGATAGTGGGGATCATGTGAAGCTATAAATGGTTCCGAAAGAAATGGGTGTGTCTCAGCACTTGATTATCCTGTGCTGTGGACAAGAAGCTACTGCTGGGACAGGATATGGAGAAACAGAATGGTTTCTCATAGGCAAAGGTATATGACAAGAATGTATCTTATTTTCCTATCTGTTTCATCAGTACACAGAAACATATCATAAGGAAAGCTGGGGTTGGGATCAGAGGAAGAAAAAGTGAAAACTGGTGGATTAGTAATGCAAGATATGCAGGAGATACCGTAATATTGACAGAAAGCAGCAATGAATTACAACAACAACTTATGAAATAAAGGGAAAAAGTGCAAAAGCAGGACTGCTGTTGAACATGAAGGAAACAAAAATCATGACTGCAGAAGTACAACACAACATGAATGTCAACAATGAAGAAATTGGAATTGTGAAAGAATTTGCATAGCTTGAATTATCAATTCAAATGGATACTGCAGCCAAGAAATGAGAAGGCTGGGACTTATAAAGGCAGTGATTAATGAACTAGAAAAGACTATGAGGTATAAGGACATTTCACTGGAGACTAGGGCCAAGATCATCCACACTATTGTATTCTTGATCACTATGTAAAGGCGTGAAAGCTGAACAGTGAGAAAAGCTGACAGGAAACAAATTAATGCATTGAAATATGGTGCTGGTGAAGAGCTTTTCAAAAACCTTGGGCCAACAGAAAGATGAGCAAGTAGGCTCTAGATCAAATCAAGCCAGAGTGTTCTCTGGAAGCAAAAATAATTAAAGTGAAGCTGTTGTACTTGGGTCACTTCATGAGAAGGCAACACTTACTAGAGAAGACAATCATGCTAGGGAAAGTTGAAGACAGAAGGGGAAGACCAGATATGAGATGCCTCAATTCTATAAACAAAGACCATATTCTGTAATTCTATAATACAGAAAACCATAGCCTTGAGTTTACAAGGGGTGAGTAGGACTGTCAAGGACATGACATTTCGGAAGACATTCATTCATTCATAGGTGCACCATAAGTCAGAGGCAAGCTGATGGCATGTAACAACAATATTTTCTGTATCAGTTCTGAAAGGCTTTGTAATGGTTAGCAATAGTGATCAATTACCAACTCGCTGATTATATGCAAGTGTAGCCAAGTGGTTTAATTTATCTTTTGATATTCCCTTTAGGTATGGTTTGGGGATGATCCCCCTTTAAGTCCACGAAGTCCACTGACTCCAAGGCATGGGCCAGGCTTAGCAGATGTTTTGCTGTATGACCAGTGGATATCCGTCCGACATGAGGCAACCCTCATTCCTATGCAAGAAGATCTGTCCATCTGGCTGTCTGGATTGTTAGGTAAAGTCACCACAGAAGCTTATTTGAAGGAATCATCACTCTAACACCTGGCATTCAACAATTAACACAGGAGGGTTGAACCTTGGGACCAGAAGCCTCACCTGGCCCATGTGGGATCCCAGTCCAGACTTTTAGGGCTCACCGCACTCCATTTCCCATCTCACCTCTAACCAGCTTCCTGCTGTTTGGTGATTTCCTGCCTTTTGCATGAATTCTTTTCTGTTCTAAAAGGCTGAAGTGCATCTCCTTAAAAGCTTAGTTACTGTCAGCCAAAGGCTTATGCTACAGTTTGCACAAGCCTTTTTGCTTTGGCTGCACTTACCTGTGGAATGTTTCCCCGCGAGCTCCCCTGCAATGGCATTTGGCTCTTGGACTGAAAAAGGAAGTCAGCACTCCTGTTCAGCACCATGAATAAGGTTCATACTGACATACATTAGAACTTGTTTCTAGTCTGGCTACGTTATTTCCTTGCTTCATTCTCTCTCTTACTTTCTCCCTTCTCTTGCTAGGAGTACATAATAATGCTTTGCCACAATCCATTTAAATGCTTCTGTTTCTAAAATGATTGACTCATTAGACCAGTCATTGCATTCCAATGTTAATTTCTAATTTCCATTGTGCAATTATAGCCGAAAACATAGTTTGTAATTCAAATAATTGCTCTTCAATGCACAAATGCAGTCATATGCCGTATTATGAATGGTATCTGTGCACTGTCTACTTCAAATGTGAGGAATTGTACCATTCTGTCTCTGCCTCCTCAAGGTTTATGCACAGCCTCAGTATGGCACCTTCAATTGCATTGTGGGGATGGCCAGAAGCCATGATGGCTATATATTACCTCTGTTAGCTGAGAGAAGTAAGTAATAGTTGCTGTGGAACTTGAGCAGGAATGGACTATTGCACCCGTGTTCTTCTTGTGACCATCCCACGGACATCCAACAGTTCATTGTGTGAACAGAAGCCTAGACTAGATAGGCCTAGACTAGTCTGATTCAGTGGGCTCTTGTGTTCTTTTGCAACTGCTTCCTGCTTATATATTAACCAACTGAAGTGTTATTTTACAGGAATAGAACTTACAGCGGAACAACTGTTGGAAGATCTTGACAATGGTGTACTGCTGTGCCTGTTGATTGGTGTCATTCAAAGCACAGTTAAAAAATGTTGTGATCCAAATACTTTAAAGGTAAGTATTGTGTGCATCATGACATTTGGCTCTACCATGTTGTTATTGTTAGTTGTAAAGTCATGTCCGACCCACCGTGACCCAATGGACAACATTCCTCCAGGCCTTCCTGTCCCCCACCATCCCCTGGAGTCCACTCAAGCTCACACCAACTGCTTCAGTGACTCCATCTAGCCACCTCATTCTCTGCCGTCCCCTTCTTCTTTTGCCATCCATTGTCCCCAGCATTAGGCTCTTCTCCAGGGAGTCTTTCCTTCTCATTAGGTGGCCAAAGTATTTGAATTTCATCTTCAGTATCTAGCCTTCAGTATCTACCATGTAGTGCAGTGATCTTTCCCAGTGTCCAGAAGCCAGGATGGTTTATTGAAGCTGTGCTAAGACCTTATGATCCTCAGCTTGTTTGGAAGAGCACCAAAGACAATTGCCATGAAAGCGTCTTCACCAATCAATCTGTAGATAAAGGCCCATTCTACAGTGAGAATGCAGCTGTGTACCTTATTGAGGCAGCTTCACCCCCTCATCTCCCAGGAAAGGGGGTGGTTAGAACTTGTGTACATACTGACAGAATGTGAAATAATGTGGGGAAAGAACCTTATAAAATCCACGGCAAGAGGCACTGTTTTGTTCCCTCTTTTGGGGAGAAGACTTGATGCATTGCTTGGCCAGGCAATTTTGGAGGCTCATGGGGCATCCCTGACCTATTCAGGGAAGCAATAAAGCCACACAGAAGGAGAGTGTAAGCTTTCCTGTGGTTGTTTATCTTCTGTGCCCATATTCCATCATTGTATCCAATAAACTACATTTATCTGATACAGGTGGTTTCATTTCTTCCTAAGTGTCCTCAAATATAAGGTGTGGTGCCTTGACTGGACTAGGCCCCAGGTCTAGGGCTAGCATGTATGACTCAGCTTCTCATAGGAACTGATCTTAGAAGTAAGCCAAGGGTGTCACAAGCAGGCTTGCATCCTAGGCTTTTGAGAACACTGGGACATATCATGGTGGCTTTAGTTTCTTACTTGCCCTGGGATACACCTCTTTTCGCTGCTGAGTACCCCGCATGCAATGAACTGGCCAAAGAAGCAAATGCCAACAGGATGGGGAGATAGCACTTTGCATGCTCTTGTGGATATAGAGTAGGTTATAATGTTGGAAATGAATGAATGAATAAAGGGTGATTGTTTTAGGTCATTTAGGTTGTTTAGGTCTGTGCTGGGAACGGGATGTGTGGCATGCAAGGGACTATGAAAGTAGGAGGCTTTATGGTGATACAAGCTCAGGGCAGGTAAGACCTTTATAGGAGAAAAAGGCATGTGCTAAACACCTGGGAAGGAAAGCACTAGCTGAGAGACAGACTGCACAAGGAGCTGTGCTGGAAGGTCCTGATACCTGTGGGATCAGACTGGACAAAATGTGATCTGCCCTATGGAAGTGGCCAGAGAATTAAAAGTGGTGTTTGGGTATTATACATCATAATTTGGGATGGTACAGCACAGGCCAAGAACATTACTAGGGTTAATTATTATAGTCCTACAGTAGGGAGAGGATAATTTGGAATGAGATAAGAAAAAACCTCACTGATCATAGTGATCTAAAATAGTATATGAATTTCATTTAGTCAGAAGTACCAGCAAATCATGTTAAGTCTGCTGACAAACTTGCACTACTTTTAGATTACTAGAGAAGCATTATGTATGGCTTTAAAACTTTGCTCTGATTTTTTCATATGATATTCTGTTCTTGTCTGCTGGTAAGATATTTTAAAGCGTCTTTGAAATCACTGATTCAATGGAGCATGTAGCAAGCCAGTCAGTTATGGGTCTTCCTCTTTGAGGAAGTGCTTCTGACAACTAAAGGCTAACAGGCTTTGGTGTGTGTCTATTTATTACAATGTCTCTTGAGTCCTAGACAGTGCCAGTCAAAACTATTTCCATCATTACTATTATATAAACAAGAGAAATTAGTTTGTATTGCAATTTTCTTTCCGTGGGAAATCTTCTAAAGTGCTTTGCATTTGCTCACAAAACAATGTTCAGCTCTTCATCCTTTTGTCTCTTTGAATGTAAATATAGGGTATAATATAAGGTATATCATCATATTCTGATGATATAACAATGTCTCTCTCAGGTCTGCTGGTGGTTACAGATAGTTTTCTCTAATATTTTTCTCTTTCCAGGATTTCCCTCTGAGAAAAGTTCCCTGTAAGAAGGATGCACCTTCAGGGTCCTTCTTCGCTAGAGATAACACAGCCAACTTTCTGAATTGGTGCAGATGCATTGGAGTGGATGAAACTTATCTCTTTGAATCTGAGGGTTTAGGTAATTTTTCCTAATGAGTTCAGAGATTCTTTTTAGCCCAGCCCTATGAAGCTACTTGACCATTAATTTCTCATACAGGTTGTAATGGGCATATTTTTTAAAAAAGTGAGAATGTTTGTAAGAATGATTTGTTGCAATATAACTTCACTAACTCCGAGATCTTGTGTTTGAAATACAGTGGTTTAAAAATTCATACATTCTTAATAGAGAGCACAATAAGTAAAAAGGAAACAAGACTGCCAATTGATCTTTTTAGGAAGTAGAAAAAAATTCCTGTTGTTGTTTTTTTGGAACATTTGGCATAGCACAGAATTGGCCAACATGCAGGATGCCTTCCTGCCATGGACAGTTGGATGCTGCCTACCCAATCCTTTCCACTATTGGTACCACCCTGCAAATCCAGCAGTTCTGGTGGGAAGCAAAGTACATGAGGCGCCTGCTTTTTGGTGGGCTGGTTTGCAGCAGAGTTGCTGGGATTTTTCTGGTGACAGCTTCCACCAGTAGCAGCCATTTGCAGCATGGGAGCAGTCTGGCTGCTGCAGGATTCATAATGTAGTCCCCCAGCCACACAGACTGCATACCCCTGCTATAAAAGGCGACATTCCAGGGTAGTTCAGACAGTTCAAGAAGCAAGGAGTCTTAAAGCTTGAAAAGTAAGTCGGACAAATTTATTGGGAGTGTTGTGTCATACTGTTTAATGGAGCGGGAAAACTTTTCTCCAAAGCTGTTGGGTTTACTCCTCCAGCCTTTCAGCTGCAGCATTAGGTCAAGCCTTTATGGGATTCAGATGTGCTGAATGATATTGCAAGTTCTCCCATGTGTGTTGATGCATATGCCACCCTTTCCTGGCACTCAGTCAAACTGGGTTGAGTCAGCAGGTGGTGAGCTGCAGTACTGAAACCTCATGGCCATGCACCATGATAGCAACTTTGATGGCTTCACCAGGTTGTCTACTGCCAAGCATGCATGTGTGACCCAGTTACTGACATTGAACATCTCTAGGCTTTGTGTATCCAAGAGGCCAATCCCATGGAATATAGGATTGCTTGGAATTCCTCTCCCAAGGCTGCAAACACTAGCACAACCTCATGAGGAGGACTCTCAGTTCTCATCACAGCAACCATGGAAAGGACCAGTTTTCAGAAATTATATAGCCAATGACATTTTGCTTAAAATAGTTGTGCTTCAGGGTATGGGGCCAGAACAGCTCTAAGGGACCAAATTCCTCCAACATTCCACACCAAGGTAAGGGACTAGAGTGGATTTCCACTACTGCTTGGACAAGGGAAGGACAGGAGCCAATTCCGGATGCTCCTGTGACAAAGGAAAGGATCCTAGAAACAAGTCTGACTTGCATGGAGATACAGATCTGATCCAACTTTACCACTGAGCTGCAACCTACAGGATGCTGTGCACTTTGGCCTTAAGAAATGAAAAACTTATCGTTGCTCCTCCAAAAAGGAAAGTGTCTGAGCCATACTGAACATGAGACAGGGGAAGGGATTCTAAAAAAGGAATCACCATGCATACCTTCAGAAAGGTCAAGTCCAGTCCTTGGGTTAGACTGTCTTGGTATCGTGAGTTGAGGCATCTCAAAAATAAGAGTCCAAACAAGATCAGACATGAGTGCAAAGTATTTCCCCACATGCAAGATTCCAATGTCTAAAATTCCCAGCCTTGATGTCTCTACTCCACACAGATCAAAGGCATAGGAAGGTCCAGAAGTCAGGAATTAACCAAAGCTAGCCAGCTCTAGATTGCTTGATGATGAAGAGAGAAAAGGCTGAAAGGCTTGCATAGAGGAAACAATTGAAAAAGGAGGAAGGAGAAGTAAATATTGCTTCCATTGTTGCTCCTGCTCTGCCACCTCCCGCCTGACAGGACCTTGGGTCCTTGGAAGCACCTGAGAACAGATACTTCTTCCAAGACACTTCTTTCTCTTTGAAATTTGGATGTGTTTTATCTGACGTTTGAGGAGTTTAAGAACATTTTATTTGGAGCTGGGAATTTCTTCACAAATTAAGCCTGTCTGGCATTTGTTTGCTTGTTCTTTTTGTCCCACTGCTTTCCTCTAGATCATGCACTGGACTGCAGTCAGACTCACTTGGTGCATGTATGCAAGATAACCAGCAAAGCCTCAGTGAAATGGGATTCCAACCCCAAGTAGAAAAGAAGAGAGATGAGGTTTCAACTGTTTCAGGCAGCAACATGGTAAAAAGCACCCCAGGGGAGTCTGAAAGGAGTGGCGCTGTCCTTTAAAACAAAGCAGCAGCACCAAGTATGGCCAGTTCAGGAAGAGCAACTGAGCTGAGTGACTGAAGAAGCTGCAAGCTTTTAGGGGGTGGGGTGAGGGTAGCAGAACTCCAGGGCAGCAAGAACAGACCCAATTGGTAAGGAGAGCTTGCCTAAGCCGACCTTGGTATTAAGTTTGCACATAGACCTTCCCTTTTCAAAGCCTAGAAAGAAGACAGAAGTCTCAGTAGTCAGCATCCAGCATGCATTAGCTCAGGGTTAGGAGACCTGTAGCCCTCCAAATTTGATGGGGCACAGGTGGCTGTGACTCATGGGAACTGGAGTCAGTACCACATCAGTACCATGTCTAGTGTATTGGTAGGGTTGCTGAATACAGGATCAGACTGTGACACAAAGAAAAAGGAGGGAAGGGGATAGCAATGTGAACTGTAATACCTATTTGTTCAAGTAGAATCTTCCTGACCCAGATTTAAGCTTCCCATAGATGCTTCACAGTCTCTGTTCTGACTCCTAGAGGTATGTGCTGTAGAGAACAGGCCACTTGCTTCAGCCTTCTGGGTATGTGTTAATCCACATGATCAATGTCCTATTAACTTCTGCTGATGAATGGTATTCTTGGTAATGAAGAGCTGGTGGAAAGCATGCTAGAAGTTTGTGCATGTATGGATGGGAGCCTTCCATTCTCCTGATTGTGGTAGGCAGGAAAAAACATTAGGCATGTGTGCCAGGTTTTCTTCTCATGCAAACTCTGCCCGTTCTCCTGATAGATCTGTGCACTGTACCTTTCAGTAACTGGATGCAATGAATTGATGGACCCCCTCCCCAAAGGCAGAATGCCCTAAATGGCAGCTAGGATCCTTCCGATTCTGTTTCATTTTCTGCATAAAGCACCTGAAGTCATGCCTGCATGACTGTTAAATTAGGCAGCAAAGTTAAGGGCTTTGGAACTGCACTGGTAACAATCTTTTGTTAGTAATTACTGTTTTGGATTGGAAGTATGAATCTTAGCTGCTTTTCCCCTGCATTTTTCCTTTCTAACTAGGTGGCTAAGAAAACAGAAACTGTCTAACCATTTCAGGAAAAAACTTTCTAAGCACTTTGGCAGTTTATACCATGTCAACTTAAATAGATTATGTTCTGGCTTTGCACCTGGAGGATTGAACTACCTGCCTCCAGTGTTCCAGCTGCAGACCAGGTTTTTCCAGATGGAGCAAAATCTCTGAATGCTCGTTAAGAAAAATAACTCAAGATTGTATTGCTAATTAAGGTTTCAACATCCTGTTTTTTAAATAGATGCACACCTGTGTAAGTCCCAGCCCTGTATGAAAAGTACTACTTAAGTTGTTGTGCAATACTTGTACTTGTTGGAACACTAGCTTATATATATTTCTATGCCACCCCTTGCTTTAACCACGGGGCGGCATAGAAATATAATAAATATATATATATATATATATATATATATATATATATATATATATAATTAAAAGTTTTAAACTAACACTAATAAAAACATCAAATATCACATACATCGGATTCACTGGGTCAACCCCCTACTACATATATATATGTGTGTGTGTGTGTGTGTGTGTATATAGAGAGAGAGAGAGAGAAAGAGAGAGAGAGAGAGAGAGAGAGAGAGAGAGAGAGAGAGAGACATTTTTTAAACATTCTAAAATCAAATTCAAATTATGCCAAATCCCATTTCTCCAGCCGATTATAGAAAGAGTCCCAGGTTCGATAGAAGCCAGTATCCTCTTTCTCCTTCAATGATAAAGTCAATCTATCCATTTCTGCGCAGTCCAAGATCTTTCTTACAAGATCGGTGGGTAGCTCCTCATTTTTCCAATATTGAGCAAATGCAATCCTCACCGCTGTGATTAAGTGCAACATCAAGTACATTTCCTGTCTGTTGACGTCTTCCAGTATAATGCCTAACAAGAAAACTTCAGGTTTAAAAGCACAGGGTTTCTGTAATATTTCCTTCATCCATCTTTAATTGGCAATGACCAATGATTGCAGCTTAATTGGCAATGACCAATGATTTATATGTTGCAAAGTCCCACCATCCCTAAATGACTTCTAAACCTTCCTTCCTCTTTAATAGAACTGGCAAAAGTCATAATTGGAATCTGCCCCTCGTCCCCACCACCATGGAATTGATCAGTCAGCTTGTGAAATATGCCATCTTTTCTTATGTACATAGCTTGGATGATTTAGAAGGCTGCTGACAACTTAGAGTTGCTGGCTTAGCAGCATAAATGCTTGCTTTGTGTATTCATGGCGAAGAGCCTAATCAGAGGGGCTTGAATGCCTCTTAGCCTGCACTGCCCTTTTGCAAGCATTTTTGGATGGGGAAAATAAGGAATGGTTTTGTGCTTGGATGGTGGATTCCCATGTGTGGGCACAGATTTCTGCCTCTCTGCGCATCTCCTTTGCATTTGAACAATGCAGGATCTTATTCGTGCTGTATAGTGAATATTGGAATTTGACTAGGAGGGCTCGAAAATACTTGGGAGATAATATAGTTGCTGTAAGCAATTTTGTGCAAAACACAAAGTGTGGGAGAAAGATAAAGGACCACCCACCACATCTCTGATGTCCCCCTAGGCTTAAATATTCTAACATGGTCTGCACATTTAATTGCACAGGGTAGTGTGTATGGGTGTGATTCTTGCAGAAGGACTCTTCATCAGAGGTTGGAGCAAAATCACAAAACATGGGTGGGTTTCATCCTTTTTCTCTGAACTGATCTGTGGACTTCCACCCTGAAGGTAGCTGCCATACAAATCTTTTGCTGTCTGTATGCAAGCAGGGTTTGATATAAGGTGCACTTCCCAACAATGAAAAGTATGGCCCAGATCTTATTAGTGCAGAATTTCATGTCTTGCATTGGAACTCTACAAAATTTTAAATCCTGTTCATTGCCTGCCAACCCAAATTCATTTAAATTGGGCAAGTTCCATTGACCTCAGAGGGTCTGCTGAGATTGCAGCATCAAAGGGCCTCCTTTTTTCTTAACCTTTTAAATTTCCTTACAGTTTTGCACAAGGATCCAAGACAAGTGTACCTTTGCCTACTGGAAATTGGACGCATTGTATCAAGGTGTGTATTCATTGCAGCATTCTCTCTAAAAGTTTTAAATGCATACTGAGCATTTAGAAGGCTCCTTGAGATTTTCTTCAGAGATTCAGGCTGCAAGCCTATGGGCCCTGGGAAGGCATGCCATGTTGAGGACTTCCCTCTGCATGGGCAAACCTCCGTCTCTACAGGTGGAGGTCCATTACTTGAAGCTCTCTCCCAGTGTTGCTGCTGCATAGCAGCCCCATGCTAGTGGGGCCTGGCATGGGGTGGGATGGGAGAAGCAGAGGCCAAGGATTCATAGGATTCTAAGCTGCCCCATTCCCTCAGTGTGCCCCTGAGACAGCACAGAAACAATGTCAGACTTGGAAATGGACAGTTATTCTCCCTACATTGTTGTCAACGGTGAAAATGTGAAAAAATTTCCCAGCATCTGCCTGTGGCCATTTATAAGCCAGCAGAGATAGGAATCCATGGCACCAACACCATGGGTGCTTCTCTCTGTCTGCCACAGGATTCCTCTGACAGGCCCCTTGTGCCTTCTCAACACTCAAGGAGGGAAAAACCACCAGAATTTCATGTAGAATGGTCAAGCCAACAAGCCAAGACTGTAAGGGACAATGTTGCCTTACTGAATTGGGTACCATCAACTAAAATGGCAGAATTAGTCTTGCCATTAGACTTGTTTAGACCATGGAAGGGCAGCAGAGCTTCTGTTTTTGAAAAACTGGCACCTGACACAGGAGACATCACAAATGTCTTTGACATCTGACATCCCATAGAAACATAGGGGATGCCAGATCTTGTACATATCTAGATTCCTCTTCTCTCCTCAGTTACAAAAGTTTTTTATTTTATGTATTTATTTAAATTTCTACACCACCCATCAGCTCAAAGTCTTCCTGGGCGGTGTACAGAATCAATAATTCATATCAAGCACACATAATAAAATCACAAATCACAACAATAGCATTTATAAATGAAGTAATACAATGCAACAATAATACAATAATCCACCTTCTACTGCCACAGCTAAATCTGTAAAAGCTACAGTACAAGATTAAGATAAAAATCTAACTATTAAAATATTGGGAAAATAGAAAGCTTTTGACCTGGCACGCTGAGGGACTGTTGCATAACTTCCACTTGTGCCCTAGGTCATGAGTGCATAAGAGTAGGATTCCTCCCAAAAGCTAAAATGGTTGTGCAGGTTACAGGACTGACCATCAGTGAGCACCCCCTGCACATTTTCAGACTTTGTCTGCAAAGCTGAGGTTCTTAGGTGGTCAGTTGTTGTTCTAGATATGCCCCAGCCTGCTATATATACATAGAGTAGCTATACTCACACTGTTTTGCCTTCCTTATTTCAGAATTTTATTTAACCCAAATATAATGTCTTCTTCCCTTCACCCCTTTTACTTTTCTAGATATGGGGTTGAACCACCTGTGTTAGTAAAACTGGAAAAGGAAATTGAATTAGAAGAGACCTTGTTGATGTCTTCCGATGCTGTAGCCCCTGTCATCACCTCCAAACCGTGCTGTCAACATGGGGAATTACATGAAGCAGTAAGTAGGGGCTATATTTTCCTTATGAAGATTCAATATGATTAGGAACATCAGAAGAGCTGTGCTGGAAGCCCACCTAGTCCAGCATTCTGTTCACAGAGTGGCCAGCCAGATGCCCATAAGTAGGACATGAGTATAATCTCCTCCTGCTGCTCTTGTTTCCCAGCAAGTGTTGTTCTGATACTGAAATCAGCATGTCGCATGACTAGTAGCCACTGATAGCCTTTTCTTCCATGAATGTCTTTAATCCTCTTTTCAAAACATCCAGATTGGTGGCCATCATGATAGTCTTGTCACAGAGAATCCCATGACTTAAAAATGTGATCATTATCTGCGTACTAACTAGACGTCTGCTGGTTTACCCATGTTTTCTATATTCTCTTGAGCATGTTCGTCATCTGTGTGATCTCACTGATGCCAGTCAGGTGTTCCAGATTTGCTTTAGTTCAGTTTGTGCTAAGACACAGACACATGTTAAATGTTACCACAGTTCTCCCTGTGGAAATAATTATGACTGATGCTCAGCATGACAGTTTCTGCCTGTGTTGTACTGACATGTGATGGCTGTAACAGTCTTTGGCACACTAGGTGTCTTGGCCTAATTTTGAATTCCAGACTCCCTCTCAGAATGCATAGGTGCCTGGCTATAAAAACTGTTGCTATGTTTTATCCACTTCAATTTCTGCCATAATAGCCAGAGGTATTAGCATAGTTTGGGCAAGCTTTGCAGACTTCGCAAATCACGAGTAAATGAGTAATGGAGACCAGTGCTCCTTCTATACCTTTCCTTTCCCCCCATTGCACTCTAGCTTCAGTGCAAAGATTTTGAGTTGTGTTAAGCCAGAGTTTCCCTCTGCATCTGAACTGGGTTAATGTTTGGTAATAAACCAAAAAAATAGACCAGTATCTGTGGAATCGGACTTGACAATTCCAATTGTAAGCCACAACTCAAGCCCAGGGAAATTAGATCACAGTGCAGAATTAAGAAATGCAGGCTGTTACAAATATAACCATATTGGAAACCACTGAAACACTCTCTGTTTCCTCTGCAAATGTAACAGCTCATTATCTTGAGAGTTTTGAGAAAAAGGGAAGAGATCTTCATACCAAAATTGGTATTTCTTTGGCTTTCTGTGATGCAATTTGGGAAGTTCACATTCAGACTTATTTTTAGGAAATGAAATGATGAAATTAACATAAACTCTTTATACAACATAGGTTAAGCACATTGCTGAAGATCCTCCTTGCAGCTGCTCACATAGGTTTTCAATTGAGTACTTATCTGAAGGACGGTATCGATTGGGTGATAAAATACTCTTCATACGAGTAAGTGCAATTTTGCAAAATGTTCTTTTATTCTATCACTTAGAATAAATTAGGCTTGGCTAATAGCTACAGATCTTGATGCTAGTTATATATTTCCATCATCCTGGTGATGTCATCTTCCAGGTTCATTCCTTGATTGGAAAGCTGTCCTTGTATCTTTGATGTCAGAGAATCTTAGTAATAATTCTCTTGATCAGCAGCTGTAGTAGTTGGCAGCTTGCATTTCTGTCCCTTTCTTGGTCTACATTTATAAGTATTTTTTTTAGAATAGCCAGTGTCTTCAGGGATAGCGGAAAATATTTTGGTAGCTTCTGAGGAGAGTTTAAAAATGGCAACTATCAAAAGGTCTCAAGAGCTTTGAATTGATGGAAGAGCCTTCGAATACTTCCTGTGGTTTATTGTTTAAGTCTGTTTAGTTAAAAACTGATAACTACTATTTTTCTCCCCTTTTCTACTAGATGTTACATGGCAAGCATGTGATGGTACGTGTTGGTGGAGGCTGGGATACCCTCCAAGGTTTCCTGCTAAAGTATGATCCTTGCCGAGTGCTGCAGTTTGCAACATTAGAACAAAAGATTTTGGCATTTCAAAAAGGTACATCCAATGAGACAGTTCCCAGTTCATCTGTTAAAGCACCACCGCCTCCACTCATGAACCCCATGTCTGCTGTTGATACATATCCAAAACAAAATTCAAAGCCATCTACTCCTGCTTTGGCTCCAAAGACTTCTCATGCAGCTAAAACAAAGCAGGCAGTGGCTAAGTTTCCACAATCACCTGCACTTTCTTCTGTAAAAGCAAGAACACACACACCACCTAGAAGCCAATTTGCTTCAGGACATCCCAAATCAAAAGACCCTTCAGTAAGTAACAGCCACTCAACTGCTAAATCTGTAGTAGCTGCTTCAAAAAAAATATCTCCTCAGAAAACAACACCTACTTCAAAATGTGTACAACCTGTAAATAAAGTTTCTTCATCAGTCCGTGTTAGAACTGCTGTAACATCTTCAGAATCTCTTCAGAAACGTATCTTGTCACCAGTCAAAGTTGAACGTTCCCGTAATTCTCCACTCATGCCACATCCTTCCATTTTTACTTCAACAAGTGACCTTTCTGAGCTACCTGGAACAAGTAAAAGAGTGGCTTTGGAAAATGAAAAATGTCATGCTAACAGCAGAGCTGTCAATGCCACAGCCAAATCTAAGCCTCTTTCAAAAACTTCAGTAAAATCTACAAGGCCAACCAACAGAAATTTACATGGTTCTAAACAAACAAACTCCCAACAGTCTTCTATAATACCAACAAAAACAGTTCCGAAAACTACAACCCAAACTTTACCAAAACTTTCCCATTCATGTAGAGGCATGCCAGAAACCAGCCAGGCCAAAAATAGCAAAACTGCTAGTACAAAGCAGCTGGGTTCTACATCTTCTCATACAACAGGTAAATCATCCCAGCTGGCATCTACCTTAGGATCAAGAAGTAAAAATGCTTCTTCATCTGTTAATAAGCATTCTCCTGCCAAGAGCACACTTGTCCAAAGTAGCAAGGTACGAATTCAGGTACATCCTGAGCGTACTCCACTGTCTGTTGTTCGTCTTCCCCAAACATCAACTGCAGCTGAACCCCCTCAAAAAGCAATGCAAGCTGCTACAAAAAGTCAATCACTGGTTAAGGCATCCCGGAAGAATGATAAAATCCTCAATCCAACTGTTAAGAATCCTCTTTTAAAAGGAAAGGTTGCAACTGTAACTGCTAAGGGGACATCTGGTGGGCTAAAGGATGCCACACTGAAGAGTAAACAGGATGACAATTATTTTGTTATGACTGGAAATAAGAAACACAAAAAGTAAAATCACCAGAAATGCTAAATATCACCTGCTGTTTGCAGTAGCTGCTTCCTTTGAAAGAACACTAAACATTAAATAGCAACATGGAGAGTGAAATGCTAACCTGCAAAGGTTTTTGTCGTTTTGTTATTTTTAAAGAATGTATATCGGTCTTCCTTAATGATCAGCATTAGGCACTTTAACCTGCATTATGTGTGGGGTCTCGGGTCAATTTCCCATATTCATGTTTGATGTGACAAAAGGCTGTTCTTTCCTCAGTTTCACGTGTCACTTAATATTCTTGTGTGCCAGATGGGATTTACCACATCAAGGGAACACTTGAGAACAGCAGATTGCTCTATTAGTAGGTCCTGTGTCTTACCCCTTGGGAGCTGCAGCCATCAGAAATGTTCTCGCTTCTCATGATGAGTTTAGTCTTCATACAAAATGTGCATGTGCTAATTCAGCACTGAAGCATTTTGTGTGAAGAGGGCTTTTGTCAAAAATGAATGTAGGAATCGGGCCTTACTAGTGTATCTGAATAATATTTTCAATAAGAATAAAATGCAAGTGTTTTCTTTATTGCCAGGTCAGAAAGAACGTCCAGTCAGGATGAGTAATTTATATGGGGGAATGATCAGACTGCCTAATTTTCAGAACTCCTAAGATTGTTAGCATTTAATCTTTTAGTACAAATCTTGGCCTCAGACATCATCACTTTAAGTGCCTTAGCCCATGATATGTTCCATAAATTGTATCATAAGGTGTTGTAAGTATCAGTCCAGTCCTGTGTTTTGGTTTACTTATATAATATGTGAACACTAATCTTGGTGGAGCTTAAGTAAACAATACTATGGGTGTGCTTGCACAGGGACAATTTAACAAATGGTGGTGCTGTTTTGGCCTTTCTGAAATAAGCTGAAGTCATGCAGTCCCAGTGCTCAGAGAACTGCATGCTTGAAAAGCACTAGCTATGCCTCTCCATGGGGGAAGAACATCCGGTAAAATTTTAGGAAATATGCTTGTGTCTGTGGAGTGGGAGCACAGCCTTCGCATAATATGAATCCATTTCTATGCACAACTAAAATGCCTTTCAAATAAGCTGCCTGTGTAATTTTTATATTTGTATTTCACACTGCTAGATGTATAATACATTCCTTATTGCATTAATATTTTTAGTAATAGTTACAACACAAATTCTCATGCATAAGGTTGCAGGGAAAGGAGTTGGATCTAAATTTCTTTGCATACAAAGCTCAAGCAAGAGAGTGATTAAATGAATGGGTGCATACTACTGTTTGTATACACAGTATTTAAAAGCAATATTTTATTTAAAAACAATTGTAATTCCTGCATAATAAATTTTTATGTAAGGGTCAGAAGTATTGGCTATGGAATTCCATTATTTTGCAAAATATCAGCATGCTAGTCCATTTAGTATCAAATTATGGCAATACTGAACATACATTGCAAACACAGAGGAATTTTATCCTCATTATGTGAATGAAAGTGTAGTTTGTGTTTCTGGCAGACAATGGGTAATCAATTGTTGACTGAAGCTAAAATAACCAGCTATGTGCACATCCTGAATTTTTTCTAGTTGCTCTGTATAAAGATATTTACAGCTGACAATAGAGGTTGTGTGTGAATGTGTTTTCCAGTGCCTATTTCACAGTGATCAGTGCAGAATGGATAAACCATCCACCATCAAGACGTATGTTCTAATGCACAGTTGGGTCTGTGATTCAGCCTGTGATACTTGCTTATGTACACAGATTTGCTCAGCTTGGTTAGATGAACTTGTTTTAGAAGGTCACAGCTCAGCCTTCCCAACCCTCCATCATCCCCTGGTCAGCAGAGTGAATGACATAAATGTTGATTTCTGCATTTCTGGTCTCATATATTATTTTTAAATCAAACTATTGCTGCAGCCTGTGAAAAATGGAAGACAGGGTAACATAAAAGATTTTTAAAGCATCTTAGTCATCCCCCCCACAATAATCTTTTGGTCTCTGTCTATCTGCCTGTCTGTCTGCAAACTGCTCTGGTTGTGCCACAAGCATTTGGAAGTTAATAGCCACAGAGCAAAGCCTCAGATTCGGACCTGGTTTGCACAATCAAAGCAGCTCACCACCAGTAGTTTAAACTACAATGAATCATGATGCATATTGGTGTATGCCTGTGACAATCCTCCAGCAACGTGCTGCAGCTCCTTCTGGTGGTCTGCTAGAGAAGTCAGTCTCACAAAGACTTGCCAGATTTATCAGGGACCATGTGATGCATGCAAGGCTCTCATGCCAGGAGCCATGGAAGTTTCCGTAAAGGGCTTTCCATTTCTGCTGAGCTTTTCTGCAACAACAGCAGTGATGCCTACATTGTGTTCCTGACTCCGACCCTGTCTCTCTTCCTGTAGCCACTTCACCTGTGCCTTGACACTTCCCTGTTCCTAAATATGCTTTCACTCCTGGTCCTGCAATGCCTTTGCAAGTGGCTGTCCTTCACTTGCTCCTGACTCTGCTTTTGCCTCTTGTTCTCCCACATCTTAGTAATTTTACCCTTGCCTGAGTAAGTCTAGGTTATATATTTATTTACTTTATGTCTTCCAATAGCCAAAGTTGTCTGAGCAGTTCTCCAAAGTTAATAAATAGAATAAAATAAAACCTAAAATAAAACAATATAAACATAAGAAAATTGCAATAAGGAAATAAAGCTACCTTTAAAGAACCTGTCCACACTGCTTGGCCTGCAAGAAAAGAAGCTAGCAATGCCCCGCCCCACCCTTTAAGCCATTTAGAGCTGGTAATTCCTTCAGCAAAGGGACCCACCTTAACATGGTGCAAAAAGGATACTACAGTTGGTTCTAGGCAGGCCTTAGCAGGGAGAGCATTCCACAGTCTGGGTGCTACCACAGAGCTGGCCATGTCCTCCTCGTTGCCACCAGCAAAGCCTCCCTCCCTCGAAAGCAGCATTCAGAAGGAGGCCTCATGCTGAGCGTAGTACCTGGGGTGCACTGTGGTCAAATGAGGTGTAAAGTCAGGTACTGTGGTGCCAAACTGTAGGGTTTCATTGGTAAAAATATAGCACCTGGAATTAGGTTCAGAAGCATGTAGGCAGTCAATGCAAGCAGACCAGAAATGGGCTTATATGTTCAGACCTTCTGGTTCTGGTTTTTAGTTTGGCTGCAGCATTTTGTAACTATCTTCAAGGGCAGCCCCACATAAAGTGCATTGCAGTAATCAGTTGTAGATATTACCAGAGTGTAGATTACTGAAGCCGTCCAGATACGGGTGTAGCTGGTTATCATGCCATGCCACTCAAGCTCCCTGGGTCTCAAGTGACAACAATAGCTCAAGGAGCACCCCTGAGCTTGAAATCTGCTTCTTCAAGGGGAGTGCAAACCCATCCAGGAAAGACTGAGCATCCTCCATCTGGTCAGAGGAGCCATCCATCAGCAGCATCTCAGTCTTGTCTGGATTGTGCCTCTGTTTGCTAGCCCTTATTCAGTGCAGTGTCTTACTAGTCACCACTGTACCAGGCAACCTCTCCTGTTGAAAGTGACAATGGGAAATAGGACTGTGTGTCATCAGCATACTGGTAACACACTCCAAAACATGGGACTAGCCCACTCAGTGGTTTCATGCAGAAATTAAATAGCATGGGGAACAAGGCTGGCCCCTGAGGAAGTGCATGCTGGAGAGTGCAAGGGCTGAGCAATATTCCCCAAGTGCACCTTCTGGCCCTCCAACTAGGCCTTCCACTCCCAACTCAGTCAGTTGCCCCAGAAGGATACCACAATCCATGGTACTGAAAGTGGCAGAGAGATCCAGGAGCATCAACACTATCCTGCCTCCCTCCCAGCAGAGGTCATCATACAAGGTGAAAGCCATTTCTGTGCCGAAACATGGGCTGCCCCACCTGAAATGGATCCAGATAATCAGTCTCATTCAAGAGTCCCTGCACAGTGCATACAAAAAGCTTGATTTCAAAGCACTAATAAGTTACAAAAATGTGTTTTACCTTACAAAAATGCAGATACTGTGGGCCACTGGGGTGCAGCTGGAAAGCATGATTACCCCTAAGTGTCATTCTGATGAATTGTGTATCTAATAGTAGCTTTGTTCTGCTGAGTCCAGCTTTCTGTAAGAACCTTTGAAACAGGGCCATAATAAATAATGTGTATACAGAACTAAGCCTTTGCAGTACCTTGAAAGTATTTATTACTGCAGTCAAAACTGAGTAATGAGCACAGCAAATTTTTAGAAATTATGATAAGCAATTTTGGCTATTGGTCTCCTGATATCAATTGTGGATGCATTCATACAAGCAATGGGAATGTTGTGCTTTTCTTTGGCGGGATTTAGGCTTCAGCCTCGGTGCTTAAGGTACAGCTTGGTTGGAAGCAATGGCACCTGGTATTGGGCATAACTCTTTGAAGCATCACAGCTTTACCTCTAGTGGCAACACACCAATTATTTTCAAAATGCACAAGAGGATCAAAAGATCTTGGCAGAGACTGGCCCAATCTGACTTTATATGCAGGGTAATGTGGAGGCCACCAGCTGGGCAGGGTGGCTGCATGGTTTATGAAGCAGTCCAGAGCTGCCAGTTTTATAGGACCAGGTGGGATCTCTTGACACCCTTGTCTCTTGCTAAGCTGGCAATTGCAATAGCACCCTGGAGCTATTTGCATGTCCCTGCAGCACAGAAGAGAGCAAGCCGTCAGCCTCTTCTGCCCACGAGCTGCCACAGAAAAGAAGGTCCTGCTAGGCTGGCTCAGGGCATTTTATTGCCTGAGGGGAAGTAGTTGTTGGCTTCCCCTTCCCATTCCATGTATACAGTTTGACTGAACTGGTAGCTGAATCTGTTTTCAGCATCAGCAGTCAGATAGTATCCTTTACCTCCACTGAAACCAGAGGCTAGCTTGGGGCCACTTTTACTGAAGACTTTGCTGCCTGAGGCAACTGCCTCACTCTGTGTAGCATTGTAGGACTGGGCCTACTGTCCTAGGCCTGCAGGCATAATGT